TGATTAAATATATTTACTTTGCATCTTTCATCGTGTTTAAAATCAAAATAGGATCCAGAGGCATGTTCCTAAATTTTCCTATTTGAAGTAAATTCATAATTATTTTTTTTCAAATCCTGACATACATAAAATATCTAATTGAGAAAAAACATAGGCGAATATGGACTTATGATATAGCCAACAATATAAATCATGGACATAAAATATGAATTGTCGACATGGTAAATATTATACTAAAAAAAGTATCCTAAAGAGGTTTTCTAAATTTCTTTTGTGTATCGGGGGCACTGATAGCATCAATTTACACCATTCCAATATTCAATCCGACGTCTTTGGTTCCTCCAATTCCCTCTAAACTAATTGTTAAATGTCATTTATTTTTTGTGGAATAGCATGAACCACAGGCATCTGACTGAAAATTGGAACGGCGCAAATTGATGCTATGAGTGTCCCCAATACACATCAAAATATGTTGAAAAAATCCTTACAACCCTTTTAATGATACGAGAAATAATGAATATAAAGAAAAATACATCAAGTATCAAATAGATAATATAAGACATGCAGAAAGGATATAAGATAAATTTATTAAAACGAGGTAAGGTGTCTAGTGTGATATACATAGTGGAATTATCACTAGAAATACCAGAAGAAATATACAATACAAGCATCATACTCCAAACTTGCTCTGATTCAATTTTTTTTTTTTAATAAGATGAAAGTGTTTTTTAGAATCAGAATTTCGTAATCTGATTGGGTAGAAAGGGTATAAAGCTAATTTAGTAATTAAGCAATCAGATGACTGGAATTATAAAATCTTCCAGAATTTTTGTGCAGCAGACCCGTGGACACCATACCTCGTAATATCAAAATATATATATATAGTGTTAACAAATATAATATCAATACAGTGTTGGAAAAATATATAACTACTATCTTGAGATGAGATAAAACCTCTTCAGTTAGTAAGTTATGAACACTGTGTAGTATATAAACTAATATTAGAACATGTTAAATAAGTATAGTTAGTTAATAACACTATGTTATAAATAATTAACTAATATTAGAACATGTTAAGTAAATATAGCTTGTTAATAACACTATGTTATAAATAATTAACTAATATTAGAACATGTTAAATAAGTATAGTTTGTTAATAATACTATGTTATAAATAATTAACTAGTATCAGAACATGTTAAATAAGTATAGTTTGATAATAACACTATGTTATAAATAATTAACTAATATTAGAACATGTTAAGTAAATATAGTTTGTTAATAACACTATGTTATAAATAATTAACTAATATTAGAACATGTTAAATAAGTATAGTTAGTTAATAACACTATGTTATAAATAATTAACTAATATTAGAACATGTTTAATAAGTATAGTTTGTTAATAACACTGTGTTATAAATAACTAACTAATATTAGAACATGTTTTTATAAGTATAGTTAGTTAATAACACTATGTAGTAAATAATTAACTAATATTAGAACATGTTAAATAAGTATTGTTTGTTAATAACACTGTGTAATAAATAGTTATTTATGTTAAATAATACTCGTTGTATAAGTTATATATTTCAAGTGCAAGAACTGTCAAAGGAATTAGTGAAGAAGTTTTCTAACTTTATACGTGTATCGGGGCCATTTTTGACCTCGATTTGCATTATTCCATTTTCCCCTCAGATGCCTTTGGTTTCTGTAGTTATGTTAAACCATAT